TTCATACTTTGCGTCGTGTATGGAGGAGGTATACACACGTCAACGTCACTCGTCGAGCAAACGTGCAAGAATAGAAATCGTAGTGGATCTCTTGGTTCGTCGAAGGGTACGCTTCCTCACCGAAGAAGAGAAGAACGGTCGAGTGTAATCGGTAAATGGTCGCGGCGAGGAGGGGAACAAAGCGGGCATTATAGCTGTTTGGGAGCATTGGGCACCGACTTTCATTGGCCTCTTTATTCCTGTCCGTCCACTTTCGTGCTCCATTTTCATTCGTTGCGTTACAATCGTCCTTTCTACCACCAGCCTGGACTCGAAACGACGCGAACAAAGTAATGTTGTACGAGTGAAAATAATATCGACTTTGTATCCTCGTTCTTCAAAATTTTTTAACACGTACAGATGTTTTTGAAGATCACGTTTTGAAGGAAATAATATTTTCACGAAAGATGGATCGGGGGGGGACAGACGGAAAGGATACTAATAGCGCAGCTCGAGCTAAAGCCAAGATAACGGTCTTGTTGAAATTCGAAGAGTGATAAATTCAGTTTCCCTAAGATGTCAAGCTCGCATTCGTAACGGCTCTTTGAAATGGAAACATAACTCTTCCCTTCGATGTAATGAAGCGTTTAATCCGGGGGAGGGGGGGGGGGAGGACGCTCTAAGTACATAACAAGATCAAAGAGCAGCAACGTCTTGAGCTCAGCAACAACAGCTTTACAGTTTCACGAGAAATAGCTCGTTCAATATTCCGAAACGTTTCTAGATCCCGTCGCGATATCACACACAGACGACAAATTCGGGGGGGAGAAAATATAATTGGCGACACGAGCAAGAACGAAAACGAATACGAAAACGATCCAAGAAAGAAAAAAAAAAAAAGAAGAACTACGATTCGAGAACCGTAGCTTAACAGCTGGAAGATTGGTCGATTTGGCAGGGACGACGCGGTGGTATTTCTATCGGTTCTAATGTACCGATATACACGGCCGGCTGTTAACAACTCTTTTTCCTCCTCGCGAGCGCTCGCGTCGCGTGAAACAAGATAAGGAAAGAAACGAGGGATAAATAACCGTGGCTACCTCTCGCCGGCCATCCTCTCCCCACCACTATAAGAATTCCTAACTTCGTGCGTGTGTGGGTCGCCCGCCGTGGTGGGGAGAGAAAAAAGAAGAGGAAAAAGAGAAAGAAGAGGAGGAGGAACGCGGATGTTTCCGGAACCCGATAGATGGCCCGTGTTTCCGAGATAAGCCGACCAAGCTCGGCATAGTTCGGTAAATGATATCGAGACGAGCGTGTTGGGAAACACGCGACAGCCTATCTCCTCCCCGGTAATCGACGTGCCTCGTAATCTTAATTACCCGAAATACCGGCAAAGGGGAATCGCGTAGCTCGGTGTGTATCGATACAGAGACGTCTCCACGGACGAAGCTTGTTAAGTGCGATCCTCGTGAGAACTTTTATGCGCGCCCTCTGTCATCGAGCAGGAGAGAAGGGAATGAGGTTTGGCTTCAATGTATATACGCAGCTGCGTTTAAGAGAGGATAGGGACGAGAATCGGGTTTGAAAAATCGTTTAAAATCAAGCGAAGAATAATTCGTCGTCGTCGTAATAAAATCGTTACTTATTCCTCGCGTAAATTTTAATTGGACCTCGAAGGTGGTCGCTTTTACGAAACTCGAGGATCAATTTACGCGTATTTGCTTCCACTATCTATAAATGATAGTCGCGAATTGGAGCGAAGCTCTCGTTAAGCGCGACCCACGCGAAGATGTCAGATAACCACGCTCTATTATATTATATTCTGCAAGACGCGGATCTTTACATTGACGTCTTGTTTTCTCAGCGATATCGATGTTCTTTTACGATAGATCTTCTTAATAATTCTAAGTCTCGAGCAACGCTCGACCGATTTCCGATTAATTCGTATCGTTCTGAACGAAGAAACGTTTACGAACGTTCTCTGTTTACATTCGTATAACGTGTTTTGGAACGCGCGACGATGAAAGGGTCGATGAGAAAAATACAGTCGAAGGTCCGTTCCTTTGCACACCATTTAATTAATTAAT